AAACTAGTTAGATCAATTGTTATTATACCTAAAATATATATATTTCAATAATGAAAATATCACTACGTTTAAACCTAACTTTCATATTTATTAATTTCCTGAATAACCCTGTATAATTAAAATTATTTTTTAAATTTTGTCTCGCTGTAAACACAGATTATTTTTGGCTCTACAGACCCAGACATTATCTGTGGCTCATCCTGTATACCTATTAACTTATTATCATCAACCCTGTATATATGTAATAGCAAAGAAATAACAATTTCCTTTTCTTAAAAAACATAAGAGACAAAAAATGCTTTAAAAAACTATATTTTTAATGTGTTTCTCACCAAATAAATAAATTAAAAGAAAATATAATGTTATGACCTTAAAAAAAAATACCGTGTTAGCTAAAATATTTTATAGTTGAAATAAATATGTCAATATTGTAATTATTAACTTTGGGTACTTTGAAATTCATTTATTTGTTGATTATTTTATATTTACTTTTTATCATCACCTTGTATACATGTATTAACAAAGAAATAATAATACGTACCCTACACCTTTAAAAAAAGTTCATTGTGTACCTACCTAGATGTAAATATTTCACATTTTTTTCTACAAATAGGTAAGTATAACGCCTAGCTTTTTATTCTACTCTTAAAAGGACATTTCAGACATACTTTCTATAATTACTTTCTAGGTATAGGTACCACTTTGAAATTAAAGAATTGAAGTAATTCAGATAAAAATAAACATGCAGATATTTGCCTACTATGGTTTATATTACCTACAACTACCTACCTACATAAGCCGAAGCATGACAAGTATAAAAAAAAATTAAACAAAACTGCTTACCACATATCTATGATCTTCAATTATTGATGGACACAAAAATCACTGTGTACACATTTTATTTGAAAATTTACACAATAATTATTATTAAGGCAATAACTAACATCTTTAAAACAATTCAACCATTTTGGTTAACAAAGCGAAAAGGAAAGGTGACAGTGAGCACAGAGTACTAGAAAATTACGATAATATAATTCTTTGCTTTGATTGGCCAGGTTAATATAATAAATTTACTGAAAATGATCGTATTTTTGTAGAATTTATATAAAATAAATACTTTTTTGCGTAAACAACATAAAACAACATCTATTAAGTATGACATGTAATTTCGAGACATAGTTTTTAAAATATTGCAAAACAATTGGTTCAGGAATGCTCCCTTCTGTCATTTCTAGACTCTGAACAGGAGAATACAAAAACTTAATGATATTATTCAAATGAAATAAGTTTTTATGGATTATAAACTGCATTATAATTCACAATTTTAGATGTATTATTTATCGCCACTAAAATAAGTAAAATAATTCACTTTTGGAGGCAGTAACTATAGCGGCCGTGCCGGTAGTTTTGAGCATTCGCATCGAGTCGTTTTCAGACGCTGCCGATCGGTTAACATTAAACAGGGTCGGCTTTATTTCTAATGTTAAAATTATTTCTTGCTTAATTAATTCGGAGTTTGAATTTTCTGTAATTTTATTAACTCATTTTTTAAATATTGATATGAAAAGTAAAATTATACAGGGTATTAGTGCGTAATAGCTGAATATTTTAATTTATGTTTAAGACACGCAAACAAGTTTAATATAGAAGTTGTATGTATTTCAAAAAGACATACTTTAATAGCTATTTATGAAACCAGTTACGAAATAATTTATTTTGTCGAGCAGGGCGAGATCCCGTAAAATGAACGAGTTATGAGCGGTTATGGGCGGTTTTTCAGACATGCTTTCGTAGATTTTTTCACTTGTGTTTAATTTACTTTATGTTTTATTAGTGATTTTAAATCCGCACTCACTGATAAACGAACACTTTCAATATCTGCAAATTATTTGGTGGATATAACAGTATACAATGGAACCCAGAAGAAAACCACACGTTTGTTGTTTCTTGTTTTAATTTGGATACAAGTGGCGGCTCGTACCTTAACACACCGGCGATGCCAGGCCAGTGCGTCACGCTCACCGCAGGTGCCCCGCCGGGTGCATTTTTATCGCCTCCAAAAATACACGCAACAAAAAATAAATGCATTTTTTTATCACGATAATAATAATAATAATAATAATATATTGGTTGGGCCGGTTGCGAAAGGTGCTCGAAGAGAATATACCCAGTAAGAAGTCAGTCGCTTGAATTATTTGTTGTGTATTGAAATAACATGTTCTCCCTTCTGTGGAATAACATTGGCATCAAATTACATAATGATAAATACTTTATATATGCATTGTTTAGCCATTTGACCAGACAATTGTAATAATTATTGAATTAAAATAAAAAGCAATATTGGCTTACATATTTTGCACTAGTGCTACGGCCCTTTGGTCACTTAGGACGAGACGCCACTGCTGTTTAGATATTTAAGTGTGAATTTGTTAGCTAACACGTAAGTAATTGAGCCGTCGATCCAATCAAGATTTTGGTATAATATTAGAAGGATTCCTTGATAGGTCAATCTTTATTTGTGTTTTTATAAAATTAAGTCTCTTGACATATTGTTAAAAGAATATTTACGTAAGGTTCCAGCTCAGAATAGCATCAAAAATCATGCATAAGAACTCAGAAAATAGTGCTATCCTCGTTTGAAGGAGGTTGGCTTGATACGACAAATTTGTTCGACGTATCAGAGACCTGTGGAAACACAAAACTGTTTTTTTACCTCAAAAATCGTTTTAGTTGGGTACAGAGGACATCAATAATATTGCACGCACTTGGTAGAATATATACCAAGATGGTGGGTAAGTGATTCATTTTATTTCAAATACAAAACTAAACTTTGCAACAGAGGTAAAGTACCTAGGTCTCATCTTTGACAGCAAGTTAACATGCAACTTATACTTAAAAAAACAGAGTCAAAAGAGCATGCATTGCTTACGAACAATGCCGCCGAACTATGGAGCGCACCTGAGGTTTCTCCTCCAGAGTCGTCGCATGGACTTACACGACCATCATAAGACCTATGCTAACATACATACATACATAGTTGTATGGATACCGAAAACACAAAACTTGACAGCTAATTGCAAACTAGCACAAATTCAAAGAACAACATGTATCAACATAACAGGAGCCATGAAAAACACACCGACCAGAGCCATGGAAGTCATTCTTAGTCTCACTTCCCTTAATATTTACATCAAGGGGGCTGCTCTGACAATAATACGCCTCCGCACAGTTAGAATAGTACCTAATGTAGGATCTGGTGAGGCGAGACGTAGCTTTTAGCAAGAGGCGCTTGATACGTTCCTACCGCTTCTAGCGAACACGGACTCCATCTTAGTGAGATATATCTTCCATAAGCCATATTAAGTTGTAACAGAACAAGTAGAAGAGCCGAAAGTGGCAGGTACAATTCAGATCTATACCGACGGTTCTAAAACAAAACAAGGCTTAGGAAGTGGAATATACTCCAGATCGTTAAACCTGAACATAAAATGGGCTATGAGCAATAGTGCCAGTGTAGTTCAAACCGAGCTCATTGGGATTCTCATGGCCACAAAAGAAATTGCCAGAAACAATATCACTGGAAGGAAATGCTTATCTATACAAATAACAGGCAAGCACTACTCACCTTGAACAGACCACGAATTTACTCAGGATTAGTACCAGAATGTCACGAAGCTTTGGCCAAAGTATCCATTAACAATATAGTCACCTTAAAATAGATCAGAGGTCACGCCACATCGAAAGGTAGCAGTTTAGCTGATTCAATGACCATGAAAGCCAACCAAATACTTTTTGTACCTAGCCCTTGTCATGGCCTGACAAAATCGGTAGTGACAGATGGAAGAAACATTTTCATTTGAAATTTAAGGAAAGATAGGATGAAACAAGAAACTACAGAGTCGCCAGGGAGCTTCTAAGTTATCCTGACAACACTACAGCAAACAAATACTTGACTGTGACTGGACAGAATCTGCGCTTGGGCACAGGCATTCTGACTAGTTATTGCCAAGTACGGAAGCATCTCCATATCATGGGGTTGTCAAAATCCCTACTCTGCAGGGGGTGCGAACAAGAAGATCGAGAATATTCTCCACTATTGCCCGACGCTTTCATTTATTAGAAGATTTGTGTTCAGCTAGTATCGGCTAACACCGGCCGATATACTGCCATCCTATGAAAGACCTCCGTACCTCCAGAAAACATGATTTCGAGAAAAAAGCGGTTTACCATATTTTGTTTGGCCGCAAAGCTACATACTGGGAAATTATTTTCTATGATAAATTTAGGAAAAATAAGCAAATATGGTTTTTTTTAGTAAAATGGTAGTTCATACCACCAGAAACATGTATGTGGGGTAATACTTTTTTTCTTCAATTTTTGGAGATACGGGGGTTTTTCATAGGCCGGCAGTATAAGAAAAGCATCTCTTGGCGACGTTGTCAACTACATTAAATCTGTAGGCTACTGAGGCCTAAGTGCCGTGGGGTATCCCACCCTCAACACGTTACAGATACAGATAGTGCCGACCTCAGAACCTAAATGGAGAATATAAATTGGAAATATAATTAACTTTTTCACTTTAATTTATTGCGTACCATACTTTTGTTATTTTTATTTATTGCGATTAAAGTATGTTTCATGTTTTATTCAAATATTTATATTTTCCTATGTTGTGCAATAAATTAATAGTAAAATTAGCGCTCAAATGAAGTATCATACTTTACAATAGGTACGGAACAGTTTTATTATCGGTTAAAATCAAAAATGCAACGAACAGTTATATTACTGGATTCCTTATAAAATTGTATTGAAAGTGGCAAAGAAGAGGGTAATGATGTATGAGAGTTCAGGATATATTAGAAAGATGTCCCTCTCTCTCTCAAAAAAAAAACAAATATTTAATTGTCACTGCTGTGTCAATAAGAATTATTTTCTTTTTAAAAAAAAGCAGCTTATTTATATGACAAATTTTTATTTTAATTGTTGTTTTCTTTTTTCAGACGGGTGTCTACAGCAACACAGTAGTACTTCAACATCACAGCGTGGTCATGACGAAAGCAGATAAAATCTACAAAGTGAAATGTACCTACGACATGTCTTCCAAGAACATCACATTCGGCATGATGCCAATCAGGTTGGTGCCAAATTGCCTCCCGCATTTCCGTTATCCGTTATTTTTGCCGCCCATTGTTGCCAACTGCTGAGATTTGTTTCTTGTATATTTATACGGTTGGATGCACTTAAACCCTATTCTTAAAGATCTCCGAGAGATAAATCTTTTACATATTATGATTTACTGTGTAGAACAGTTTCTGAATTCACAATACTACAGAATATTGCGGTTTAATGCATATACTCGTAAAACAAATATGATTCTGCTTTCATTATCGTATTCAACCCAATCTCTGCACTATTCTTGGTGCACATAATATATTAAATATACAGGGAATTCCGCCCAGAAATGTAATTTGCGAAAACTTCTGAGGCTCGATTGTAGCATTGTATAGAAACTAATGGAAGTCCATTTCAGCACCTAATATAATAATTCTGTTATTTACTTATACAGGGTGTCCCAAGTTAAACAGTTCACCTAAAATATTTACCTGAGAAATGTTTTTTGTGAAATCCCGAGACCGGTCGATTTTGAGTTCAAGGGGGACTTCTTTTGATCTTCAATTCATGGATGTAGGTTCATCCCCCTGAACAAGGTGGTCCCTTCACGAATAATAAGTGGCACGAGGGGTCAAGTGGCACATTATTTTAAAGTTATTTTAATTCTCTTTTCAAACATGCCGACATTTTGTTGTTCTGTGTTAAAAATTATCTAAAACACCTGTTGAGAGTATCGGTGAAATAAACCAATAAAAAATTAAAAAATATTATCGATGAACACAACTGCAAAATATTAATTTATTTTTATGATTTTACAGGTAGTTGCATTTTGATTTTACATAATTATTGTCTAGTGAGTTTAGTGTAAAGAAATTCGATTATTTATTATTATGCGCTATCTTGAAGCAAACGATCCAAATCATGATTTACACTACAGCGGAATGATTTGAAATTGTAGTACTCTATTTTCACAACAATAAAAGGGCCCAGGAAACTGCAATAATTTTTAATGAAAGGCATCCTGGTAAGAATTTCAGCTGTCCCTACGTAGTAAATTTAATCACCAAATTCATGGAAACCGGATCCGTTGCTAACAAAAAACATGAAAGGCAACACACTGTAACTAACGAGGCTGCACAGGTTGCAATTTTGGGTTATATTGAACTTGATCCTACTTTAAGCACCAGAAAAGTAGCAGAATTTTCAGGAATTCCACGTAGTAGTCTTCAGTGAGTTTAAAAAAAGCAACGGTTCCTTCCCGATAAGATTCATCTCTTGCAGAAACTGAATGATTATGATCCAATTTTGTTAAGATGGTTAAAATAATTTTAAACAATCCTAATTTTTTTATATTCTACATGCTTTTCTGACTAATACAAATTCTTTCTTAATGGTAACGTCAACAGAAAATTGCAGATACTGGAGTTATTCGAATCCACGAATTATGAGAAAACAATATTCACAATATCCAAAAAAGTTGAATGTATGGGCTGGGATTTTGGGCAATAATATTGTTGGTCTCTTTTTTCTACCTGGTAACTTGACGGGTGAGTCTTACCTCAATTTGCTTGAAGACTTGATCTACCCTCGAATTGTAGAGCTTCTCAGAAACGACGATCAGATCCCAGAAAATGATGTATTTTTTCGACAGGATAGCGCTCACTGCACTCTGCAGCCCCCTGTAGGTGACTTTTTAAATCAAAACACTGTATTTGTAGAGTTTCATTGAATGGCCCTCAAGATCGCCAGATCTAACACCATTAGATTTTTTCTTCTGGGGTTATTTAAAAAGTGTTGTTTATTAAACAAAACCTACATCGTTAGATCTTCGCCACCGAATAGTGCAAGCATTTGGAGAAATAACCCCTGAAATGCTCCTAAATGTTCGGGAAAATGTTGAACAATGACTTTGTCACTGCATGAAAATAAATGGGTCTTAATTTAAACATTTGATTAAATAAAACTCTTTACTTTGATTTATTTCACCGACACTCCCAACCTGTGTTTTACATTAATTTTAACACAGCAAAAAAATGTTAGCACGTTTAAAAAGAGAATTGAAGTATCTTAAAAATGATGTGTCACTTGACCCTTCGGACCATATGCCTGAAGGAGTTGTCACCCTGTTCAGAATGATGAACCTACATTCATAAATTAAAGATTCTTGAAATCAAAATCGATCGGTCTCGGGGATTTACCAAAAAAATTTCTCCTAGGAAAATATTTCAGGTGGACTCTTTTAATTGGAACACCCTGTATTCTAACAATTCGATTAATTTGTTGAAAATTAAACAGTTTTTGTCAATAAATTGAAATTAACTGTAACTTCAAAACGATTCACTTTACACCTCAGATATACATTTTAAGAATCGAATATTAGAGGATAATATAAAATGTAATAATATACCGGGTGTTCAAATTAAAGTGTTAAAGTGTTCAATACCGCCGAAAATATGCATTTTAGAAAAAAAGTTTCAGACAAAAGTTTTATAGTTTTTTGGGGGAAACATTTTGGCTAAATTCATTTTTATAGCTGACCATAATATGGCCATACCGAGGTGGACTTTGTTTTTTTAAATGGGAATCCCATTTTTTATTTACATATTTACATGAAAAAATAAAAAACTTTTGATGGAAATATTTTTTTTATTGGACTTTTACTTTTTGAGTAACAGCTACTTGAAAATTTTGCTGGGCGAAAAAAAAGTTGGCCATATTATGGTTTGCTATAAAAAACGATTTTAGCCAAAAATTTTTCCCCACGAAACTATAAAACTTTCGTCTGAAACGTTTTTTTTTTATAAAAGGCGGTACTTAGCTGTAACACTTTAATTTGAACACCCGGTATATCCATTGAAAAAACATGGGGTGGCCATGTAGTGAATAGGGTAAAAGTTATAACGAGTATACATGAGCAAAAAGATCTATATCTTTATACGATAATTGAGAATTTTTTTGCATCACTAGATGTGATATCAGTATGATTGAGGGAATTATTAACAGAAGATGTTAAGCTGACTGTTGCGAATGGGAGAAAGTATTTATTTGCGTTTTTGCGGGTGCGCACAAGATGTACCTAACTTCACTTTATTTCCAAAAATGAGGTTTTTCATTTTGTTCTGAATGTGAAAACAACAACAAACAATTATGTTAGCGTTTTTTGCAGTTCATTTTTCATTTTATTCAATTTATTATGGTGAAAATATTAGCTAAAACAACTATGAAACAGTATGAGGAGCTAGTTAATTATGTTAAAAAAAAATTATTCTCACAAAAAAAATTAATTATAAAAAAAAATGCACAGCTTTGGCTTTTACAAATCATATAAATAAAAAAATAGATTCAAATGTACAAATAATTCAGATTATATTATAGCAATATAGGTATTAGACCTTCAGTTCAACTGGAATGGATGTAATCCATGGTCTTTGAGGAGTACCTATTAAAATGGGGCCTCATTCTTGCAATTATAAACTGCACCGATATTTTTGGAAGTCTATAGTTGGTATAGTAAGAAAATCTCAACAGGAGTTTCAAAAAATTATTGTGATCTCTGATATGCCTTCTTTCGATGTTTAATTCAGTCCTTAAGTAGAAAATCATTATATGATAAAGTTTTCTTCATAATAAAATACTAATAAAAATATACATAATATTCTCTAATTCCTTTAATAAATGTAAATTAATTAACCCATTCATTTAATATCAAATCTCTGAAATAATAATAAACAAATAAAGAGGTAACATGGACGTTGGGCACTTAACGGCATGTTATTCGAAGCTGTTGAGGCGATATGTTAAATTTGAACATAACAGGCTGAAAATAACAGTAATGTGTTATGAAAAAATTTTCATCATACGAACTTGCCTCGTTGCTGTTAAAACTTGGCCTAACATGTACGTTACGGATAACGTTTAATCATAGGACCCATTAGCATTTAAATTAAATGCGGGCGTAATTTAACAGGCCAAAGTTTCACTGTTTTTATAACTTCTCTTAACTTAGATTTGGAAGTTTGTAATTTATTTTGCTACGCACTGAGAACTTGGTTTTGATCTATTTACTTTAGCACTTACACTACCTATTGCTTTTTTGGCACATCTGTCAGCTTCTTCATTACCCTCGATTCCAACGTGTAAAGGGACCCATAAAAACAACACCTTAATGATGTCTTATTTACTAGTTTATGGTCGGAATTCGAAATAAACCTTTTCAATTTTTTTAAGAGAACTATGGGAATTTGTTAATATTAAGGCTGTTTTGGGATGTATTGTCTATATACAGGTAATGGTTTTCAAAAGAACAAACAGTTCCCTACTATAATAAATACTAGTTAAGGCCAAAAGTTTGTATTTGAATTCGGAATGCATCCCTGGAAACCTTGTAGTGAGTAGGAATTGGATTTAGTTTGGTTTTAAAGATTTGTTTAATTAAAGTAGCTGGAGAATCTGTTTTTTTTTTAATGTAAGTGTAGTGTCGATGGTTGGGGGAAGTATTAGCAAGTATTACAGGTGAATATAGATGGCAAATCAAATTGCAAAGTTTCTAGTTGTTTTCTAACTTTTTCACATAAATTAGACTGGCAGTTCCTTAAATCTTTCTGAATATATGTCTTCAAAAGTATGATGTTCTTTCCCTATTTATCAACGAATTTGCCTTGGTCAAAGTCAGATATTATCTTCTTCTATTAAGCTATGATTTTTCTATCTGGACGTATAAGCTTTCAGATGGTAATGTAAGAAAATCCTCTGATATAATTCGTAACGCAGAGTTACGAACGACAAGAAGATATTTAAGGATATATTTTTTGTGGAGGCGTAAACAATGGAGCCGTAGTCAATTTAAGATCATGTACGATTTTGGAACGCGAGCCTGCGACAGATGACCGATGCACTTACGTTACTATTCACACATTTGGCAAGCCGACTGCAGACAAGAGGTGATCACAGACGATCATGTGAGAGGAACGGCATAACTAAACGCGACAGGCAGCAAACACTGCTTCGAGACCGGTATTTAAAGTGCTGTCGATGTCTCTTGCCTCGGTCGTCTGCCTTGGTCACTCACTCCCAAATGTGCTTCATATAAAGTTTGCTCCAACGAAAACCAAACAGTTTACGTACTATGGGGATTCTGCGCATTATAGAATTCGTGTTTCAACAAGCTGCAGACTCAAAACTGTACGAAAACATAGTGTTCCAACACAACCAAAACTAAATACAAACTGATTTGTTTACTGTCAAATGAGCAGTGGGATTCTCATCTTTCGATACGCCATGTATCGAGACCGCTACCTTCGTTCGACAGACTGCAATTTTTATGTATCTTTTTCCAATTTCGTACCTAACGTGTTAAGTTCGCAAATAAGAATCCTGTGCAGTTCCTTGGTATAAATCGGAACGAATTGTTAAGACATGCGCAAAGCTGCAATAACCTGAAAATTTCGTGATTGTGATTATTATATTATTTGTATGCATCGTCTTTGATAGCTCTGATATGTATTTGTCAATCGAGTTTAGTCTACATAGTTTTTGTTCATTTTCATTTATTTTATTTTGTGGTTTATTATTGTAAAAGAACGGTTTATGCATGGTTCCAAGATCGTTGTTGGAACAAACATATAATTAGATATGACTGAGACGTAAAAAGATGCATTTCGGTCGCCTATCGCGGTGGCTTGTATCTGTCTTCTGTCTCGGTCTCACATTCCCAAATTGTACCTTAAGATTTTTGTAGATAAAAAGGAGAGTTTTCTGTAATGTTCCTCAATTTCTGCTGGATATTACTTTGAGTAAATTCGTATCATTTAGAGTAAATTGATATACTCTTTTGACAAGCAACTATGAGATTTTGGATGTGAACATTTCAGTTTAGTTTGGTATCAAAAATCAGGCAGAGAATTTTGTGATTTTTAGAATTTCTATGTTCTGGTAGTTCATGATTGTTATTTTTATAAAAGATCATGCATTTTTTCTTTGAAGTTCAGAAGTATAAAATCTTGTTTTATCGGACCATTTTATTTTTCTTTAATATTTAATTTTTATTGTAACATTGAATTCATCGTTGTGACGTTTTTGCTTTTAATAAACATTGTTAAATCATTAGCAAATAGTGTCATTTTGACTGATTTTTGAACATTTTCCGCAATATCGTTGACTGCAATAAGAAAAAGTGTAGAACTGATATCGGAACTTTAAGGTGTTCCATTCTCTTGTATTTTTCTCTCTGAAACTCTACCATTTATTCTTAAATATCTTTTATTAATTTTTTGATTTAAATTCCAATTCTGTAATGTTTTAAATATGTTGGCTCTGTAGGCTTTGTTTATAATGAAAAATATTTCCAGACATTTTTGTTGGTTAATAGATGTCTAGTGAATATCACTTTCCAGTTCTAACAGATTATCTCTATTTTCTGAATTCAATCTCTTCTAGAGAAATTCCTCGTTCTAATCGTTAACAAATAAAATGTTTCTATAAATTTGTCTTTTCCAGGTTTCAGAATGGGTATAACTGTTCCTTCTCTCTAATTTTTTAGGAATACATGGTCTTTTCATATTTTATTAAATATTTTTAGTAAGAGTTTTTGCAAATGTTGTAGGAATATGATACTGTATGGGTATATTATCAAGTTCAGATCTAGAAGTTTTGAATGAATTTAGAGTGTTATCTAGTTCTGTTTCAGTCAATGGATTATTGTTGGTATTTATTGGAAAATTTGTAATATTATTTAAATAGTTTTTTCTGTAATTAACATCGTTAAAATTGTTTTTATATTTCAAATAATAATATTTTAACTATTTTTTTAGTGTCTGATATTACTTTTTTCTCTTTCTCGAGATACTTTATTTGTTGAAATGAATTTCCTCCTGATGTGTATCTGTAACATTTGTAGGGTTACCCTTATGTCAACTTAAGCCTCACTAGGCCCATTTTGCATCCTCCAACAATGATCTGAAAATACCTATGAGGTGCGGTACAAGTTCTTCCAGACCCCAATGGAGAGAAGCTAGATATTGATCATCTCATTTCCCACTGATATTTGTATAACATCATATTTGTTAATGCATTTATGCTTTACACATACTTTTTCCAGGTTTCTGTGTTACTTTTTTTATTACACGCCTGGCTTTAGCTATTATTCTTTAAACTTGTTAAGGTTTTCTAAATTTTTATATTTTTAAAAGCTTTGACAACCGTTTGGCATTCGTCGTTCCATCATAGTACAGGGTTTTGTTTTTCCATCATAGATTTCTTTCCAATATCCTGTTCTGTTTATAATGTTTAAAAATTGTTTAACTATCTCATCAATTCACTCTGATATCTCGAAATTAATTATTATTGCATCGATTTAAGACAGTTTGTATTGTGAAGTTTTGGAAGTAGTAAATAAGGCCTCAAAAGCCCTAATGGTATGCAAAAACAATGTAGGCAAACGATGGGGATGTAACCCAAACATACTGCCATGGATGTATACTGCATCACGCACGGGGCTATAGCCTGGAGTAACAGAACTAGTTTAGCTACTACGAGAGCTAATATTTCAAAAGTTAAAAGACTAGCCTATGTTTGCATTACTGGTGTAATGAGAACCTGTCCTACAGCCGCAATGGAGGTGATCTTAAATCTCACTCCTCTACATTTGATGATAGAGAATGTGGCAAAAAGGACACGATATAGAATGATCAGGAACGGAGTAATCAGACGAAAGTCTACTTGCTTCAGAACTAAAGATACATGGGACATGCCACAGGATGAAATGCTAAAGAAGTACAGTTTTGTGAAAAACTTCAAAACCACAGAGCTGGGCTGCAAGAAAGAATGGAGCCAAGAATACATCGCGCTTGCAACCGCAAGACGTGCTATTCAGTGATACACGGACGGTTCCAAAACCATAGAAGGAACTGGAACAGGAGTGGATGGGCTCAGAACCAAGCACTCCGAAAGCGTGGGAAAATACCCAAGCATCTTCCAGGCGGAAATTCACTCTATCGGGAAGTGTATCCAGTTTAACATCGAGAGAAACTATCATAGACAAGATATTATCATTATGTTCGATAGTCAAGCAGCCATCAAAGCGCAGAGCTATTACGTAATCAGCTCAAAAATGGTCTGGAGATGCCTAGAACAATTGAATGAACTAGGCGAGAAAAATAGTTATTCTACCTTGGGTCCTGCGACATAACGGGGTACAGGGTAACAAGATTGCAGATAGTCTTGCAAGGAAAGGGGCTCAAACACCCTTTATAGGACCTGAGCCGTTCTGCGGTATCAGCAGTAACATAATATTAGGAGAGATTAAAAAAAATTAGACAGTAGAAGAACCGATAATTGGAACAATCTGTTGGGGCTGAGAAAGGACAAGATACTTTTGGGTGAATATAACCAGAAAAAATCGGAAGCCTCCATCTGCCAGAGCAAGAACAGGCTACGTATTGTAACACGGATCCTTACCGGGCATTGCCGACTAAAAGGACACCTAAGTAAACTGAGAGTAGTAGAGGATAGTAAGTGCAGATTCTATGAGGAGAAGGACGAAACCTCCATTCACATCTTAGTTTAATGTGTAGTATTTTAGAATCCAAGCGCACTATATCTAGGAGGATATCAAATAGAAGAGGGAGATTTGCCTAACTTGAAGCCATTTCAAATCCTACACTTCCTTGAGAAAATAGGACTGGAAGGGTCGTTATAGATATTGAGACATTTCCTTGGGGCATTGGCGACAGAAGAGGGAACAATAGATCTTTTAGGTCGCAGTGTATTAACATCCCATTCCCAACATAACATAACATTGTGAAGTTTTCATTTAAGCAGTGGTGCTTTATTTTGAGAAAATTCACGAGTGTCCTATAATTCAATAGAAAAATTATAACTATCATCTAATAGTTTGATACTTTCCACACTAAATAAAGAAGAAGCCTTGACATCACAAATCGTTAAATTTATAGCTGAAAACATAAACAGAAAGATTTTTGACTTATTTTCGTATTTTATCATAAACGCCTCACCTCAAACTTATTTATAGTGTGTAATTTATATTGAAATTCCCTGTATTTTATTGATGAATAATTTTAAATAAAAAAAATCACCTAATCCTATTGAAAGTATGTTTGAACAAGGTACACTAATGTACAAAATAAAATTATCATGTAACGTAGACATAATCAGTGTTTAGAATGGCATTCGTTGATACTATTTGGTATTTTTCTGTTATACACGGTGTCCCAAAATTATTTTCTCGTGGAATATAGCTCCAAAACTTATTGATATATCGAAATGACATTAAACTCCATTTTATTTGGTTTTAAAAACGCTACAGTCAGAAAGTAGTTTCATTTGTACAGAGTAATTTAAACTTAAATGTTATATATGTGCCAATATTTAAGAAAAATTTAAATGTTTTGGCCAATAGTAGTCCAAATGTAAAAATACGGTTTATTTGATTTAAAATGTTGTTTAGTTGAACTCTGTACAAATGAAAAAAGCATCTAATTATAGAGATGAATCAAATAAATCGGTTTTTCGATATCTCAGTTAGTTTCCATGCAACAAGCCAGTGATAATTCTCCCATATTTAATAAAAAAATTTAACAAATGAAATAAAAATGTTGAACTGTAAGTTATTAAACTCATGTCAAAGTTCATCAGGCTGTCTGCTTTTTTCAACAAGAGATATCTCGTTCTAAAGATGTAAAATTTGAAGATAACGATGAAAAAAAATATAATTTTTTTTAATAAAATCTTTTAAATACATGATTTATTCGCAACTGGTAGGATTATTTACATGCCCACTGTATGGAATAAGGTAAAATGGACAACAAAAAATGTCGTCTTATATCAATCCCTATCGTCTCTTACAAACGTACGAATAACTTTCGGTCCACTTCCAACTACGTTTCAATATATCTAACCCTTACGATCCTTTTAAAATCTCCTTTAAATTTATTCTTTTCGCTTTTACAGAGATCCAGAAATGATAAGCATTACTTCCGCTCCAGAAGCACCACCACCAAGGATCCGTATCCTGGACAGCAGATTGCGTGAAGTTGAAACCGTCAGGATCGGAGATAAACTCACGTTCAGGATTGAAATTCCGGAAGACAGTAAGTTTATAAAATAAAAATAATAGGTTTGATAAAATAGTAGTATCAATTTTCAATGCATTTACTATTTAATTTGGAAAATTACTCAAAGTTCATTCAATATGTATTTATTAATAATAATTAGAGACAATACAGTTATAAGAAGAAAACAAGGAATAAAATAAAATCTAATTTAAAAAAGAAGCTATATCTGATCTAAAATCTAACACTATTCATGATAGATGACACGCTAATGTATGCCATGCAAGACCTACAAAGATTGTAAAAACTAATATTATCAATATTATTACTCTTACGCCAGTAATTTTGTAGGCAAAATTTCTAGTTAGAAAATGAGTTGGTAATGATTTGAGTCTCCTTATGGTAGCTCTTCTTACCAAACAATTGAAGTATTGTTAAAAGAAACATATATGCACACAATAAACATCACCAGTATTGTTAAACTTCCTTAGAATTTAAAGGATCTTATGGATCATAACTGGTCGAAATAACTTCATATACTGTCACCGATAGAAGATTTGAAATATCAATTCGAAATTCAGTATCGAAACCTACAAAAACTTCATTTTTTAATCCGGTAGAAAAACTCTAAACCCAAATAACATCAAACTTCTTTCATTCTAGCTCCATATGGTATCTTTGCAAGAAGTTGCGTCGCTATGGCCAAGGATTCCAAGAGCACCTTCCAAATTATCGACGATGAGGGATGTCCAGTTGACGCGACCATTTTCCCTGCCTTTTCCCCAGATGGCACTGCTCTTCAATCAGTATACGAAGCTTTTAGGTTTACCGAATCATATGGAGTCATCTTCCAATGTAATGTAAAGTACTGCTTGGGACCATGTGAACCTGTAAGTAGTCTTTTTTCATATCTCACTAGAATATTCCTCAGATTACTTTATCTCTTTTTGTATATTTATATTTATCTATCGTCCCAATGGTTTTTTTACGAATAGAGTATACAATATATGTAAAAAGTTAAAACGAAAAATATAGAAGAGCCGAAAGTGACAGATACGATTCATATCTACACCAACAGTTCTAAAACAAAACAAGGCTTAGGATGTAGAATGACACTCTAGATACTGAAACCTAAACATATAATAGCAAGGTTAAGAAAAGGTGGCAAAGTTGCTAGGAAGCTTTTAAGTTATCCTGATGACACTAAAGCAGACAAATGCTTGATCAAGTACAGAAACACCTTCCATAGCATGGAGTTGTTAAACTCCGTATTCTGTAGAAGATGCCAGCAAAATAAGATTATTAAGCATATACTCTAGGAATACCCGAAGGCCTTATGTATTAAAATTTTTTTGTTCAGCTAATATTGCTAACACCGGCCAACATAAAAGAGGTAACTCTCAGCGACTTTCTCAACTTAATTAAATGTGCTAAGAGAGGCCTCATTGAATCAGGGGCATGCACAATGATCCTACTGAGGTCTAAGTGCTCCCTACTTCATAGGTACAGATACAGATGACGGTATATTATTTTTTTTATTGCAGGCTGTTTGTGAATGGGGCAGGGAGTCGCTAGAATCATGGGGCAGAAAGAAGAGAAGCATTGCAAACCAAACTGATGACGAAAAAGAAGAAGATATGACCCTTAGCCAAGAAATTTTAGTATTAGATTTTGGAGATGACAAACAATCCGAGTTCTTAAAGAGTGATTTGTCTAGTACCGATTTTGGTAAAGGTAAGCAACAAAATACAAATTTCTTTAAAAAGAAAGTAAGCAGAATCTTTTATGAATAGCTCCTGAATATGTTTTTTTCTTTTTTCAGATAAAACAGTGACGATCATCGAACCATGTCCCACGAAAACCTCAGTATTAGCCTTAGGAGTCACGTGTGCCTTACTAGTTTTATTATACATCAGCACACTCTTCTGTTACTACATGAAAAAATGGTTGAACCCCGGCAAACACATTGCCTGAAAATAATTAAAATAAAAAGACTCTTTGGTGCTTAGAGAATAATATTTTTATACCGAATCGATATTTAACGAAATGTACGAGGGTCGGCCAAAAAGACGTTTGATCAAATCAAATGTACGATTAATTACTGGTAGACCTTCGTATATGATTAAATCAAACAAATATAGCAAATATGGGAGCGGGAAAAATCCCATAGAAAACAATAATTTCGCAATAATTATCGTTAAGTAACTCAAATTTCGGGTTTGGTGGAGGACTGGTGGTGGGACAGCTTTGTAAATCTGTGATATACGGGGTCACTCAAAAATGAAGTAGAGGGAGAAAGTGCAATAAGTAACCGAAATTTATACCTCGAAATTTTTATGTTAAATGTAAATAAAATTTGAGAGATATAAGTTTAAGCTTTCTTTTTTTTTTGGATCGGTCGTAAAAGTGCTAGAGGAAGAAAGTTTCGAAACATTTTCTATTTAAGAAATTTTTGAGTCGCCTGGTATAAGGACTGCTTTATTTTACCGTTACAAAACATATTTTACTCTTTTGATCTCTATTAACCGTTAATGGCTATAAAATTATATTTAATTATTTATCTAATTTTATTTATTTATTTAAATTTTTTTCCAAGTAAAAATATGAGTTAAAGAAAGAAACAAAAATAAAAAAATTACAAAACATAATAACGAGATAACCAGACATTACTGAAATTCGGTTTTCAATAATTTCTGATGATGAATTACATTAATACAAATATTTCAGCTCGTTGTTGCCAAATTGGTACCTATTTTCAGGTTTGTTTCTATAAAATATTTTTTGCACGATAAGTGTCAAACCAGCAACTGTCTCATTTTTGATATACTTGTAAATTCAAGACAAATGGAAATAGGTAGTATAGTAGTACATTTAGCTACATGATCTACCTACTAGTCTTTTAGAACATAATATAGTAAGTAGTTAAAATTAAAAAAGCTCAATTGTTTATTTATGTCTTTATTTCTTTTTTCAAAAAAATAGGTCAAATTCAGTCATATACAATATGAAATATACACATATGGAAAATATACAAATTAAAAAAATAATTTAATTTAATTAAATTATTACATATTTGCAAATATTATTTCAGTGATGGCAAAATTACAAATTGAATTTGTTATTGTCTCATTCTCTTTTTATTTAATTTTTCGAATACAAGCAATATACAAATTTTAATAAATAAACAAAAGATTTTGACCTTTGAGTCAAGAATAAATTCAACTTTTAAGAAGCATATCTAGGTTTTAAATTTATTTAATTATACAAAAAGATAATAAAATAATTAATAACTTATTTTAAAAATAAACAGCCTCGATTCCAAATTTTTGTGTTAAAAGTAATATCCTAACTTATTCAAATTTTTGTTGCAGTGTTAAACAAAGCAGAAACACACAACAGGGATCAAAACAAGTATGTCTTATAAGTCAATATACAGGGTGTCCCGAAATTAGACGGTCATATTTCAACAACGTAATCTACATCTTAAAAGTTCATATAAACATAGGTCTGCAAACGTTTCGTTTTCGAGATACAGGGTGTTACAAGTGAAGTCATGATGGCACATTGTTGTAAATATTTTCTAAAATATCTTTAGGTCACCGGTTTTTCAAAGTAAAAAAAAAATAAAATTTCTGATTTCACAGGCCTACTAATTATTGTTTACACTTTCGAATAACTTATCATAAAATTTTAAAATGCTTTTTTTTTGAAAATGGTTCGTCCTAGCGAGATGCAAGACAAATAACTTTATTATAAAGAAAACATTGGTTTTCCAAATTTTATAGTCAAAAATGTTAAAAACTGTCAACAAAAAAAACTTATAGGGCAAATTTAAGCCCCCCTAATTTACCTACCTATGAAGATGATCAAAAATTGGGGTTTAGTCCATTAAATAGAACGTAAAAAGGTAAGCATTTGTACCAAATTTTATTTAGTTATCTTTAAACGTTTAGAAAATATTTACAAAAAAGTGTTACAGGACTTCACTTTTAACACCCTGTATCTCGGAAAAGAAACATTTTCGGGGCAATAACCACAACTAAGACGCGACAAAACTTAAAAATACTTCTCAATTGTCGATTCAAAGCCATTCAAATCCCTTAATAATACCGTTTCGGTAAGGAGTGAGGGCCGCTATAATCACAACACCAATTACACATCGGTTCTAACAGGCAGATATGTCTGCCATGGTCCCCGGGCCCGCACGAAACTATAGGTTTCATGTCGAATTGTTTTAACTAGTGTGTGAAAATGTAGATATAAATTATACTGTAAATAAAGAATTTTAAAAACGAAAAAAACGGACCTATGTTTATATGAACATTTACTCCTATTTAAGGCTGTTAAAGTATGACCGTCTAATTTCGGGACACCCTGTATACAGTGTATTTCAAACAATCTACACCATATAAAACCCCATTTTGATTGTTGATTTCTCAGAAAATTTTGATGCATGGCCTAAAATATAATATAATCTTAATAAATACAAAACACAATTTGTGTACTGTAGGTATACGAGGGAAGTAAAATTTATAAATTTGGCTCATTATTTTTAAAACTAAAGGAAAATATTTAAAATCAATATTTATTAGCAAATATAAAATAACAACCACCCAAATAAAAAAAAAAAAAATATTTTTCATATTTTTGTAGAAATGGGAGAATTGAAATTTTTGCTACACACTTTATCTATACAGGGTAATTTATAAAGAATCGATACTATTTTACCTGGAAATTTTATAAAAGAAAATAATTATTATTTTGCTTAATAACTGGGAGACAAATATTTTGAAGTAGTCTGATATACCATATAGCTTAAGTAATTCGTTTTATGAGATACATAAAAAATATTAGCCCATTCGAGTTTTTCGCGTCAAAAAACCTAATTGTACTAACATTTATGTATATTTGTGAAATAACTGAAGTTATTAATATTACTGAATTATTTTTATAACTTTAACATCCTGCATCTCAGTATGTATTAGTATTTGACCCAAATATTAGGCAAAAATTTATATTTTCCACTATAAAATCTGTAGGTAGAATAGTACTTATTCCTTATTAATTGTTTGTATATATTAAGTTCTATTGGGACACCCAATTAATATTTTTAAAAATAAATATTAAAAATAATAATAAATACAAAATGTTCAGGATAGTAATTTTTATCTAAGATATGCAAAAATATACAATAAAATTGTACTTTATATTTAAATTTAAGAGAAAATATAAAACAACAAATCCGTTTTTTTTGTTAATTTTAATAATTTTTTTAGTATTAAAAAGTACTTCTACATTTAAAATGTTGTAGTCTTAGCTTTATTAATTAACACCTAGTCATTCTGGACAGTGCGAAAATGTGACGCTACGTTTGACGCTTAGTTCAAACATGCCTTAACGAACTCAAATAAAGATCGTCGATAGCCATTAACGTTTCTCTGCACTGATTTTTGTTCCTTGAACAAATTTTGTGACGGTAAGATTCTGATTTATTTCTATGACTTCTTTGTTCCTTGTGATTTTTATTTAGTTTATTTATTCTTTTATTTATTGATTTATTAGGGTCTTCGTGTACATACCTAAACCTCTTAAGGAATTTTTTTATTTATATTACAATTTTTATGTAATAATACCTTACATGCCTTATTATTTTAAATGAAATAAATACTCAAATACTTTTTATTGCGTTTTTGTTTTAATATCCCCTTTAAACTAAACTTTCCTCTCAATGAACGATTTTAGTGGGTCGAATTCTTTGAATGTTAAATATACCTATACTTAAACTGAATAATAAAATAAATAAAACAATGCCATATGACACACAAAATACGTGCGATCGTTTTCTTTCGCAAAACTCCTACTCATTTAGCTAATACTGCAACAGGTATTAAATTATATCCAAAGGAAAGTGTTAAAAAGTATTAAACAGGGTTGCGCAGCAATAATGGTTGGCAACAGTACAAGATTGGGAATGAACAAGAAGTGATGGCGCCTGTCTATGTCCATAAAATTATGGTTTACTTGGTGTAGTAACATTGTCGTATTCTTGGTTTAAAATAAAGTACAGTTTAAAACGATTCACAATTATTTTAACAGAGAGACAGAATAGAAATTTAATTTCAACATTAGCTTTGATTTTGCTTACTAAGAAGAACCACGATACACAGATAAACGATATGTTCCTGCACATGCAGCTGATTGACGGTGACATCACGTGGGACATATAATTATTATATTCTATTTTTAAACTAAGAGGAGCGATTTGAAAAGTCCTATTTACACAGGGAAAAATAACTAAAAAGTAACTAGATATCATTTTAGCGGTAAATTTGAATTTGTCTTGTATCATTTCAAGAAAAACATTTCAAAATTTTAACTAGCAGTAATATGAGGCAGCCACTACACAACTTTATTGGTTTCATTAGCCATTTCATCCACAACATACAAATTATGTGCATCTTTATGTTGTCAAATTAGGTGTAAAAGTTGATCGCTTCATATTTAAATAAATTTAATATTTTTAGTTTGTAACCACTTCTGCATTTCAGATTTTCTTGATGACAAAGGAATTTTTTCAACTTTTCGACTATGATATGATACATTTTCCATAACAAACATAGCATCATTAGGAAACTTTGTAAAAAAAAGTAGAAAACCAATTCTAAAATACTTCGGATTTCGTCTCTTCATGGTAAATGCATTTTCTACAAAACCTTCAGAATTAGCATCTTCACTTTCTTGTAAGACTTTTCAGGCCCGTGGATAAACCTTACTATGACCTTCATCTAAGTAAAAGCTTGGCATGTTTTCTTTTTTACATTGGTTGATGGATTTTAAATCTATAGATATAGCATTCTATCAATACACTTTGACAATTTCTTTTCAAATATCTAAAAAAATATACATAATAAATAAACAGTACATTTAACTGTTCAAAGTTACAACTTATTTATGTTATGTCTCAAGAAAGTATATAAAGATGAATAATATATTTGTGGCAAATCAAAATGTTTCCATTCTTGCAAAATTTTATTCAATCTAGATAATTTTTTGAAAAAGAAATCTTGTACTATCTTCGAATAGCATTTAGTCTCATCAAATGTTTTTAGAAGTCCTTGTCTTCCATAAATACTTTTTGGACTAGATATTGTTCCATTATTGCAGTATTATTTCAATAATCGGTAAGTAGTTGACTTTGCAATAACTGTAAGAAAAATGTTGAGTAATTATTTTTAATTTGAAAGTAATGAGTAAAACTTACCGGTGGCTTGAGAAATTTTGGATATAACGTCAACAATTTTGGTTTTTGTATTATTATCCAATACCTATTTGTACATATTTAATATTTACTGCTTTTCTGAGAGACCTCAAAGCCGTAAACTCATTCGTTTTCGTTGTTTTAATGAACTCCGTGAGGAACTGCTATAACAGAATTCGATGTAGAAGGACCCATAATCGTAGAAATTCAATACTAGTTTTGTAAAGAACTGTTATTAAAGAAATAAAATAAAAACTAAGTAATAATGATGAGATATCAAAGCAATAACAAAACTTAAAATATAAAATGTCAGAATAGAACTGTCAACAATAATCAGCTAAAAAGTAACGTGTGAAACTGACTGTA